GTTATCAGAAAGAATTAGGGAGTAATACCAATATGTATTTAGATAGCTAACACAATCAAATGAAGAGTCGAGTCATAAAAAGAAAGTACTGAGGTGGATGGTTTTCATCAAAGAACTTTACTATCAACAAGACAGAGAGAGATATGGTTTGTTGATGATGTTGCACCATATGTGTTTATATCCAGGCAAATCAAACATGCAACAGTACTTGTATGAGATACAAACTGTGGTATAGACCAATCATTTGTCATCTTTAAGCATGAATTGTTGGAAAGAGATATCGTACAAAAATACAAACTTTTTACATGTTTAGAAGATTCAAACATAAATAGCACTAATTATGATATAGAAGCAAAAGCCAACTATGCCAAAGTAGTACATTTATTACACAAACTTAACAATTCTCTAATTATTAGCCTTTAAGTATGAATTTTTTTATTATTAGAATTCCAGTAATATTACTGGAGTTCTAGTTTGCATTTGATCGAAGGGATGCTTATTCTTCAATTTTCTAATATGTGATGGTTCTAATAAGGGCAGAGATATATGGAACAATATAATAGCATTAGAGAACCTTAGGGCACAAGTTTATAAAAGCAATAAATCGGATATATGCATTAAAATACGGACATTTAACAATATCATTGATCGAGCATGTCAAAACCAAAACAGACAATGATAAAAGACTAATCATGTATAACATTCATAGTTTTTCACTTTTTCAGTTTTCACAGATTTGTAAATCAGTGATTATTTTTTGACAATATTGTGACAACGTAAATATTGTTTATATTTTTATGTCAAAAGCAATCAGAATAAACAACATTATTTTATAAGTGGCATTCAATTCAGTATGGGCAATATAAAATCTAATTCTGATTGAAACCCAAATGGTTTTGACATTCATAGATAGATGATGTTGCAGATAAGAGGAAATCCATTAATCACGTGATCGATTTTTTAAGGTTTTTTGAACGCCCCTTTTGGTGATTTCAAAATTACCTTCCTACCCCAACATCACGTGTATTTTTAGTTACAAGAAAAAAATGTACTTTTTATTATTTTTGAATATGTTTGGATTAAAAAAAAAAACTGGTAAAAAATAAATTTTGGATCAGCAATCAGGATTTGGAGCAATCAGAATAAACAACATTATTTTATCAGTGGCATTCAATACAGTATGTGTAATATAACATCTAATTCTGATTGAAACCCAAATGGTTTTGATATTCATAGATTGATGATGTTGCATTTGATAAAGTAGTTATTAATAAGCATGCAAACTACACCAAGCCTCATGATGATAGTTATTAGCTATCACTGATGATTTACTATGACAAAATATTAGGGAACTGGTATTTAGTAGATAAGGGGAAATCCATTAATCACGTGATCGATTTTTTAAGGATTTTTTGAATGCGCCTCTGTCTTGGTGATCTGTGGTGATTTCAAAATTATCACGTGTATTTTTAGTTACAAGAAAAAATTGTACTTTTTTTATTATTTTTAAAAATGTTTATATTAAAAAAAAATCTGGGTATATTTTACTATACCCCACTCTCCACCACGTGATATTTTATGATTTTTGGTCAAACACTTCCTCCTCCTAAAAACCTCACGTGTTTAATAGACTCCCCCTAAGAAAATGTGAAATGAGAGTATATATATATATATATATATACTCGTATATATATATATGTATATACAGGGCCGGTCCTGGGGTCCTTAGCGCCCGCATGCAAATTTTTTTCCAGCGCCCCCCCCCCTACTAATTTTAACTGTTTTAACAGTTTATCATTAAAATTATATAAATATTTAATTTTTTTTAATTTTATTCTCAATTGTTCTGGATTTTGTATACAAAAAATTAGATATAATCTAAAAGCGTATAAAATAATACATTGATTTTAAATTTATTTAGAAAATCGAGACGATTCGCGGATTGATTATAATCAAATATTTTTAAATTTTCAAATATTTTTAACGTATGTGCAATATTAATATTTGGGTTTTGAAACATTATACTTATTCATGATGCAATTTATTCTATTGAGCAAATCATGTCAAGAGAGCTAAAAAAACTAGCTTTTCATTTTCACTCGTATTTCATGTTGGATTTTTCAAATTTTAATTCAATTTTATTTTTTATTATGTATTTACAATATCCAAAATTTCGTCGTAAACTTCTCCTTATTGATATCGTAAGAGCCGAATTGTATTTATCCTTGCTTTTCCCTCATAGTCAGAGTATCAGATTGTTGTTTTAACCCTTTCCACTCGCGAATTGCAAGATTTATATGAATTTTGTCGCCGGAGCGGCGGCATTCTAGTCGCAAGGGTTAAAGTTAAATATTCAATGTATTTTAGAAGCATTTTCAAAAATCAGTAAAAAATGCAAAGAAATTAAACATTTCTTGAATTATATTGAAAGAAAAAACTAATTATATTTGATATATATTATTTCTGCATAGTTAATAAAAATTAAATTATTCCAATTAATTATAGTTCATTATTATTAAATTATAGTTCCATTTCCATAACCCTAACCACGCATATCTTCAACGTTTTAAGTTCATTAGGTGCGAAAGATTTGCAATAAAAACAAAGTTACAGTTCAATTTCTCGAAATAAACATGCCATTTTCTAATCACTGAGTCCCCATTTTTCATTTCCCCGATTATAATTTGTTTATATTTCTTAACAAGTTCCATTTCAACTAAATCAGTTCGCAATTTTTCGTCAATAATGCCCAATAGTTAATTTAATTTTTCGCTGGTTTGCGCTTATGAGATTAGGAGATTGAACAAGATATTTTGTTTTTCGACTTCACGGTAACTTCAAACAGAGAAAAATTGAATATGTAGATTAAGCAATAAATAGAGATGTTATTTACTAATTTTCAGCTGTTATTATTAATCATTTAATTGTTTCTACTGATATCACATAATCAATCAGCCAAATAAATACGCTTTTCGTGTCTCCGTATTCATAGTTAAGTTAGATTTTTTATTATAGTTCATTAAATATTCTAGATTTTATATAAATAATAAAAAAATAAATAATATATTATAAATTTAATTTCCGAAAATCGTTTTGGCGCCCCCTAAGGCGTGCGCCCGCATTTTTTGCATGCATCGCATGCAAGGCAGGACCGGCCCTGTGTATATATATATATATGTGTGTGTGTGACTCAATTCCCCAAGTCAGTGGCTTCCAACCTTTTTCGCACTGCGCCTCCCGCTCTAATAAAAAAAATTGTTGCGCCCCCCAATACTCAACTGATATCATTCTACAAATTAATAAGCAATATTATGTGAAAATATGCATAGAATATAATTATTTTTTCGTTTTTTTTATATAAATTCAAAATTTTGGGTTTATTTTCGGAAATTCCTACTAGTATTTTGGAAAGTGTCCCCTTTGTAACAGTCAGGCGCCCCCAGATTAAAAACCGCTGCTCTAAGTATTAAAAATAGTTTAACACGTACATACCCACATACAAGCTGTATGCAGGAACAGGTACTCTCCTAAAAAAGTGCTATAATTTGCACCTGAGTAGCGTTTGAACATTTGATACCTGGAAATAAAATAATTTGTTAATACATAAATATGGAACATACATTTGTGGAAATATAAATAAATATAATGTGAAATATTTAACTTACCACATTTCAAATATATAGTAGTTATGCACCATTGTTGATTTCTATATAAAATATTGAGTAGACTTGCTTATTGCTATATATAAATTAGATAATTTAAATAAATTAAGGGATTAATTATAAATCTAAAAGGTTATGACTAGTCTATTCTTTATGGTTATGAATTTACCCAGAAATTCATCATATTTGCATATTATTATATGCAATATATAATTTTACTATATAATATAGATTTTAAATAAAATTAAATATTACTAAAATAACAAAATAATTTAAATAAATTAAATAATTTTGATAACAAATTAAGCAGTCTTTATTTTCTCTCTTTGGGACTCCATATTTTTTATTTACGTCTACATATTATTTTCTTCTGGTGCAACTAGCTGAAGAATAATATTTTCAAAAGTTCTTGAATGTTCCGATTAATCTATTATCATATCCTAATTTTCGGCTTTGGTTTCTATATCATTTTCAGTGCTACTAGAATTTGAATTTTCTGCATCAAGAGCTCATATTTTTCTTTTTTCCTCCTCTTTTTTGGCATTTTTATTATTTACATTCTGTATTATTTTCTTTCGGTGCTACTAGCTGAAGAATATGTTCAAAAGTTTTCTTGAACATTCCAATTAATCTCTTATCATATCCCATATTAAATACAACATTATTAATCTCAAGTAATAAATTTTCTATTTCGGCTTTGGCTTCTATTTCATCTTTAGTGCTACTAGCATTTGAATTTTATGAACATCTCAAGAGTTCATACTTTTCTTTTTTCCCCTCTTCTTTGGCACTCCATTTTTTTTATTTACATTCTGTATTATTTTCTTTCGGTGCTACTAGCTGAAGAATATGTTCAAAAGTTTTCTTGAATGTTCCAATTAAACTGTTATCATATCCGATATTAAATACAACCTTATTAATCTCTAGTAATAAATTTTCTGCTTCAGCTTTGGCTTTTTCATCATCTTTAGTGCTACTAGCGTTTGAATTTTATGAACATCTCAAGAGTTCATAATTTTATTTATCTTCCCTCTTTTTTGGCACTCTATTTTTTTATTTACACTCTGCATTATTTTCTTTCGGTGCTATCAGCTGAAGAATGTGTTCAAAAGTGTTCTTGAATGTTCCAATTAAACTGTTATCATATCCGATACTAAATACAACCTTATTAATCACTAGTAATAAATTTTCTGCTTCAGCTTTGGCTTTTTCATCATCTTTAGTGCTACTAGCATTTGAATTTTCTGAACATCAAGAGTTCATACTTTTCTTTTTTTCCCTCTTCTTTGGCACTCTATTTTTTTTATTTACATTCTGTATTATTTTCTTTAGGTGCTACTAGCTGAAGAATATGCTCAAAAGTTTCTTGAATGTTCCAATTAAACTCTTATCATATCCTGTATTAAATATCACATTTTTAATCTCTGGTAATAAATTTTCTACCTCGGCTTTGGCTTCTATTTCATCTTCAGCGCTACTAGCATCTGAATTTTATGAACATCTCAAGAGTTCATACTTTTCTTTTTTTCCCTCTTCTTTAGCACTCTACTTTTTTTATTTACATTCTGTATTATTTTCTTTAGGTGCTACTAGCTGAAGAATATGCTCAAAAGTTTCTTGAATGTTCCAATTAAACTTTTATCATATCCTGTATTAAATATCACATTATTAATCTCTGGTAATAAATTTTCTACCTCGACTTTGGCTTTTTCATCATCTTCAGTGCTACTAGCATTTGAATTTTATGAACATCTCAAGAGTTCATACTTTTCTTTTTTTTCCCTCTTCTTTGGCACTTCATTTTTATTATTTACATTCTGTATTATTTTCTTTCGGTGCTATTAGCTGAAGAATATGTTCAAAAGTTTTCTCCAGTGTTTCAGCTAAACTGTCATCATATCCTGTATTAAAAATCACATGATTAATCTTAAGTAATAAATTTTCTACTCGGGCTTTGGCTTTTTCAACATCCTCAGTGCTACTAGTATTTGAATTTTCTGAACAAGTTTCATTTCTGTCACAAGAAACTTCCACTTCAGTCCTTTTCTTATTAATGGCCTTATCCATTCTCTTTCTTTTCATGACTCGTCTTTTTTTTTTATTGAGACGTCTCCGTAATTTTTTGTCAATCCGGACATATTTAGCAAGTTTATCATGTCCTAAATGTGTCTTCCAATAATCAGCAACCACATCACCATCATTGTTAACTTTTGTTATGATTCTGGAGGGACAAGCATTTCCAATCTTTCTACTATTCAAAATCTTTGACAATTTGTCTGTGGGTTCTCGAGAAGTGTATGATCGGTCACAATTATAGTACAGAATTGTACCTCCATTTCTCGTTCTGTGTCCTGCACTATTTTTAACATAGTAAGATAAAGTGTTTTGTTCCAATTCTTTTTTCCATACGAGAAAATCTGGAGATAAATAAGATATTATACAAAACTGTATTGGCAATATCCATAAATGAATATGTACAAACCTTTAACTGAAGAAAAATAGAGTTTTTCATGTTCAATTGGAATCTTGTGGTCAACTTCTATATGGTTCCGGAAGACATAATATCTTGGAAAGGTTTTTTTACAACTTTCTACGGGGCATGCAATTCTCTGTGACCTAGGTGGAGCACCTAAAAATTGATTATTATATATGTTATCTTCATATTGAGTTTGTTGCAAAAAAAATATAAAAAACCTACCTGCGAATCCATTCTTTCCTGTAACTGGAGTTTTTGGGGATGCTTGTTTGAGGGATGTGGATGATTTTGGCAAGACAGGCAAGGTGGGAGAAGTGAATGTGGGCTGTTCAGAAGTGACTGTGTCATTGGAAGGATGAAAAGAAGTGGACAGTATGGAAGTAATATTGTCAGTAGTAGATTCAGTAATTGTGGATTGTGTTGGTGAATTGGTAGATGCATAAGAATGCAGAGCTACGGATGTATGAGGATTAATTCTGGAATCAATCAATTCAAAAGTTTGGGAACATGAAATAGGTGACTGAGATTTGTTGAGTATTTGGGAATCTTGGGTAGTGGAGCTGAAGGGTTATGGTAAAAATTAATATGCCTTTTCAAGGAAAAATTATTAGAAAGCTTTTTCTGACAATAGTCACACTGAACTCTTGACTTGTTGACAAAGCGATTGATGTGTTTACCATGAACTTTACGCTCATGACGAAACAGATTACTATTGCTAGTAAAGTATTTGGAGCAGTCTGAACACTGTTTTTGCTTGTCCATATTAAACAGTATGACTAAGTCACTATAAATAATGTATAAGAATAAAAACCACGTAACTAACCTAACTAACTATATATACAGAGTAAAAAGCTCCTAACTAACTATATACATATATCCTAACTATTTGTACGGAATAAAACCTAACTAGAACTATATCTATAATAAAATGTAATTAGAACTATACAATGGAATAAAATTATAACTATATATGGAATAAAGGGCTAACTATATAAGGAATAATACCTAACTAAAAACTAAAGTTTTAACCTATTTAAGTATGAAATAAAGGCTGAGAATAAGAAACAATTAAACCTAACCTATCCTATAAATTAATATGAAATCCTAACTTCGATAAAAATAGTAAATACCAATATGTAATCCTCAATTGAAATCAAATATTTAGTTTCCTATATAAAAATACAAAGAAGAAAAACGTGACAGATAAATCAAATCAAAAACACAATTTCGAGCTGAAAATGCACTTAACCTTTAACTAAGTAATCAACAAAAACAATCAAAAGTGACGTTTACGAAGGGGAAGGGGGCGGCACGAAACAGGGTGACAACATGAAAATGTAATATCCGTGGCATCATGTGCGACAGACTTGATAATTGATGCCGCTAACTTCATATCATTTTAGCACACTAAGGCAGAGGTGGGAAATCTTTTTTACCATCAGAACTAGTGGGGCGCATGGCATCGTGCCTTAAGGCAAATTGCTGGAACTTCCCATACCAAAATTATTTTTTTTTAAAAAGATGAACATTTTTGAAAAAAAAATTACTCTGAAAAATTAGATTTTTGAGAAACTATAAATTTTTGTCAAAAATTTACTTTTTTTTGAAAAAAAGACTTTTTGGAGAAAAGTGTATTTTGAAATATTTTGGAAATTCTGAAGGTTTTTTCAAAGCAATCGTACTGCTTTAACTGCATAGAAACGAAATATCGAAGCGCGTAAGCGCCGCGCCGCCGTGTAACGGATAAGCATTGGTACGGAACCCATAGGAATGTAAACAAAATTTATACTTATGGTTGAAATCTCTATAAAATATTTGATAATTTGATGTGCATATGTCTAATGATTATTTTTGACCACCAGAAGGCATTTTTTTTACTTTTTTCACTAGATTTCTGAAACCGCTAGACCTGCCTTTATGAAAATTTGATCAGTTCTTCACCTTGTTAATTCAAGTAAAATGTTTTTTGAATTATTCAAATCGGACGCTCCGTTCTCTTAAAAACTGAGTTACCGTTTCTGGCACTTTTTGCCCCATATCTTCGGAACGGCTAGACCCCTCTAGACCTGCCTTCGCCAAAAACTAATCAGCACGTCTCCTTATCAATACGAATCGAATGTTTTTTGAATTATTCAAATCGCTTCATCCGTGTTCGTCGACGAAAATTTGTATTTGTATATTTGTTTGTATTTGTATATACAAACATATGTTTTCATAAATTAATGCTTTCACATAAAAGATGATGTTTCTTCAAAGATCAGTTAATTCTTTGCTAAATTACTTTTAACTTCACTTTAAAAATTTAAACCGATTTTTGTGGAACTTTTTTGGCGATATATGTCATGGTCTTATAGAATTTACTGAAATATTACGGCCTTACGACAAGTAGTTTAATTTTAAAAATTTATCAAAGTTTGAGAAAATGAGTAGTTTTTTCGACGCTTGTTAAAATTAAAATTAGACGATTTACTTGGTATAACGATAGAGTAATTGGACTTATGAACACACTTAAGTACTAAACCATTGAAGTCCTACGGAAACTGGTTCAATTATAATAATTGTTGAGTTTTGAAAATTTGCTTTTAGAAAATACTCCGAGTTAATGCGATCGTTCGTTTTCAATAATGTTTTATAAAACCACTCGGAATACTTTTAATCACTCATAAATTAATTTATTTGTATTGATTAAGTCGATTATTTACACATATCGGGAAGTTCATGTAACTTTCCTCAAGGCAAAATGCCACTTACAACTAGTCATCATTCTAAATTCATATAAAAAGAATAAATCATTAACAAATAACATCAAGTTAGATTGTTAAGTACTTGTATTGTGAGAATAATATAATTCTGTAATAATAATAAGTATTGAAAACCACAGGAAACATTAATATATATTCATTTATTCCTACATAAATTGTTTAATAGTAATAAAAATATAAAATTCAGACGATTATATAAATCAAGTCCTTCATTATATTTCATGTTTTCAAGGTTTTTCTTAACAATACGAATACGAATCGAATATTTTTCAACTTCCCGTAGGGTAAGTTATAGTAATCGCAAAAAAATCAAAAATGAAAATTTCTACGTTACAGAGGTTTCTGAATATTTTGGCATACCTTAGAAAAAATGGATGTATGTGTGTGTGCGTGTGTATGTGTGTTCGGATACAAATTTTCCTCGACGATTTCGGGAACACGGATGCAGCGATTTGAATAATTAAAAAAGCATTCGATTCGTATTGATAAGGAGACGTGCTGATTAGTTTTTGGCGAAGGCAGGTCTAGCCGTTCCGAAGATATGGGGCAAAAAGTGCCAAAAACGTTTTTAAGAGAACGGAGCGTCCGATTTGAATAATTCAAAAAAATTTATCTTGTATTAACAAGATGAAGAACTGATCAAATTTTAATGAAGGCAGGTTTAGTGGTTTCGGAGATCTAGTAAAAAAAGTAAAAAAATTGCCATCTGGCGGTCAAAAAAGATCATTAGACATATGCACATCGAATTATTGGATATTTTATAGAGATTTTAACAATAAGTATAAATTTCGTTTACATTCCTATGGGTTCCGTACCAATGCTTATCCGTTAGACGGCGGCGCGGCGCTTACGCGCTTCGATATTTCATCTCTATGCAGTTAAAGCAGTACGATTGCTTTGAAAAAAAGTTCAGAATTTCCAAATTATTTCAAAATACACTTTTCTTCAAAAAGTCTTTTTTTTTAAAAAAAAGTAAATTTTTGTCAAAAATTTATAGTTTCTCAAAAATCTAATTTTTCAGAGTAAATTTTTTTCAAAAATGTTAATCTTTAAAAAAAAAAAAATTTGGTACGGGAAGTTTCAGCAATTTGCCTTAAGGCACGATGCCATGCGCCCCACTAGTTGAATTATTCAAATCGGTTGATCCGTGTTCCCGAAATCGTCGACGAAAATTTGTATCCGCACATACATAAAATACGCATACACACACATACATCAAATTTTCTAAGGTATACCAAACTATTCAGAAACTTTTGAAATGTAAAGATATATAAAAAATTTTATTTTCGAATTTTTTGTGATTACTATAACTTACCCTACAGGAAGTTAATAAGCATATACTTGTAAGAAAAATTAAATTAATTCATTTATGTGATTAAATAAAAAATTAATAAATATAACATAGTTTTATTGAGCTTTTATTGAACATATAAACAAAATTATTTCCAAATTATCATCCTTACACTACTGTAGTATAATAAGGGGATGCAGATCATCCACATTACAAAGTATTATTAATGATTCAAATTAAAGCAATTCGCTTGTGATAACAATTATTACAATATTACATTATTGTGTTATGAATATTTATTGTTTATGATGCACTGATAAATGCCTTTTCAATTGACTCAATCTGGAAAACTTTTGATTGCATATTTCACATTTGAAATATGCAATAAAAACTCATAATCGTTCACCAGTATGGATATTTTCATGTTTTTTTAATGTTTTTTTCCAATTGAATGTTTTATTGCATATTTCGCATTTGAAAGGACGTTCTCCAGTATGGATCACTCCATGCATGTCTAGTTGGGCTTTTCTTGTAAATTCTTTATTGCATATTTCACATTTAAAAGGGCGTTCTTTGGTATGGACTGAATTATGTTGTCTTAGATGGCTTGATCGTTTAAAACCTTTATTGCATATTTTACATATATGTAATAGCTCTCCAGTATGGATATTTTTATGTTGGGTTAATATATGTTTCTTTTTGAATGCTTTATCACATGCCTCACATTTATAAGGGCGTTCTCCTGTATGAATTATTTTATGTTGGCTTAATATTGGTTTTGTGATGAATGTTTTATCGCATACTTCACATTTGAAGAGGCTATCTCCAGTATGGATCCTTTCATGTAGTTTTAATGAATTCTTGTGTTTAAATGCTTTATCGCATGCCTCACATTTATAAAGGCGTCCTTCTATGTGAACCGTGATCGCATGTCGACGTAAATATGGTTTTGATTTAAATGTTTTATCGCATATCTCGCATTTAAGAATACTTTCGCTGTGGATTATTTTATGTTGATTTAATTCTTGTTGGATTTTGAATGTTTTGTTATAAATTTTACATTTATGGAGTTGTTCTTCTTGCTCTATTTCTTCTTTGATTGTAACCTCAGATTGTAAAAATTGTTGTGGATATATTTCTTCGTCTTCCGGATATACCTCTGCTACTTCATAATCATCTAATTCTTGTTTAACTTGAAAATATTCGAGTGGTTCCATTTTAATGGTTGTTGAGTTTGTTTCTTTAGACATTTTAGGTTAACTTGGGTTCGTCCTAACATTTACTTCTTAAATACGAAAAGTCTTTCAAAACTGCATGTAGTTAATGTATAAAAAATACAATTTATTATAGATTAATAACAGTTTTGTTTAAATTCACTAAAATGTTATAAAACATTCACTTGTACGTTTCTATTTAATTTTGACATTTGACATTAGCAAAAGGAAAGGTCGAACAACATTGAAAACATACCAACCTTTCCATAGATAAATAAGCATAAATAGATCGCTATGTCTGGCAATTTGAGGTTTCATCATGTACATTTTGTAAATTATCTCCTGGTATTACTTCTACTAATTTTGTACATAAAATCAACACAGCCAAAAAATCTGAAAAAAATTTAATATTTAAAATAAGAACAAAACATACGAAATACAAAATATATTTTCAAATATATCACAGACATATTTTTGAAGAGTTATAAACAGAAA